AAAATTATTTTGGAGTAAGATGTGAGGTAGGAATCTAATTTTAATTTTTCTTCTAAATGGATCAATTATTACCAAATAAGTTGTCAAACTATCATCTCACTAATTTGAAATCCATTTTTATCTTTTCCTAAATTTTTATATCTACTTGAATATGTTTTTAATCACTATTTTCCTATCAAGTTATTTGATGATTTTATTATAGGGATTTGCACTTTGTTTTCACTTTAGTTTCTAAAATTCTCAAAGCTCTTTGTATACTTTTTCCACATGAATTTATAATCAGGCAGTTACTATTGCTTCATAACACATTGTTCTAGTTGCTATTGCTGCATAACAAGTTACTATAAAACTTAGTGGCACAAAATGACAATAAGCTGTTTTGGATTGCCCTTACTTTTAAGAACCAAGAATTGTGGAAGGGCTTCCTTGAAAGTCTCTACTTGAGGTTTCTCAGTTATTTGCACTTGGGTGAAGATGGGCTTGGGTTCGTGTGAAGGTTTGAATGGGGTGGATTCTATCATAGGACTGCCATAATGGGAAAAAAACCCCAAACTATCTCTACCTATCATTTGGAACTATAACATTAAGGATTATACTCAGAAACTCTACTGCAGGTCTTGAGGTGCAGCTCACTGATAGAGTACATACTTATCATGCACAAAGCCCTGAGTTTACTCTCCAATAGTACTAAATAAATAAATAAATAAATGCATAGATAAATAAAGTAAACTATTGACTCAGGAGAGCCATGTTCCTCTAATACTGCAATCATTAAATATTTGACCTCATCTTACAGTGTCTCTGCATCAAATTGTTTCATTTAAAATACCTCACACAGGTGTCTGTGCTTGGCAGAACCAAATCACATGCCAGTTACAAAGGGCACTAACAGGTTTTGTTCAACTTGATATTTCCTAGAAATGTGTCAGCATATATACAGAATAGGCTAAATCTCTATATCTACTGCATACCTTATAATGTATTAGGTATTTTTTATACTCCCCAGTTACTGTAAGAGTCATTTTATATATGTACTAAATTTTTTAGCTTCTTTTCTTAGCACTTACTGAAAAGAATATAATTTTTTTTCTTTAATTTGCCTGTGACTATTATTTAATATTGAGAAATATTCATATTCCTTAAATATATCTCTCCTTAAAACTAATTGAAGTACATTTCTGTATTGGTTTGAAAAGTATTTTATGGAATTTTTGTACCTATATTCATAGTAGTTGTGTTGTACTCAACTACTATCATCTCTCTATGATAAATTAGGATGTTTTCCTACTTTTTTTCATGTCATAGAACCCCATAAAAGCACAGAAATTCAGTATTTCTGAAAGTTACAAAGGAATTCATTTGTAAATTCATTAGGTTGTTTCTTTTCTTTTTGGAGGTATTCCTTTGGCTTTCTTTTTAACTTATTCTAGTGTTATTCATCTATTCTAGTTTTCCTCTTCTTTAGAGAATTGTGTTAATTTGTTTTCTGAAAAATTGTTCATTTTACTTGAAAAAATATTGATTACATAAGTTTAGTACTTTCTAGGCATTGGTATATAACAATAAAAAGACATGAATCCCTGAAATTATAAAGCTTTCATGAAATCTGGGGAGACAGATATTAAACAAAATAAATAATAGTCTATTAGATGATGATGATAAATGGTATAGATTAAAAATAAGATAGGGAAGAGTCAGAGAGTGAAATTTTTGGCATTTAAAAAAAACCTTATGATAATTATCAATTCTACTTATATGTATGTCCAAGATCAAATATGTTGCATTATTCACATGCCCTACATCCTTCCTTATTTTAGTGAACAAAAATCAATTTATGAAGGAAGTTTGGTTTTATTGTGAATTTTATATTTTTTTCTAATATTTTTAATGTTTTTTCTTTTCTTTTAGGGATTGGAATGAATTTCTTTTCCTCTCCACTTCTCCCCCCACTCCAGACTCCTTATAAAATAATTGGCAAATGAAAATTGTACGTATTTAAAGTGTGCAGCATGATGATTTGCTACATATACATTGTGAAGTGATTACCACAATCAGGTTAATAAGTATATCCCTCACTTTACAGTTATCATTTTGTATTGTTGCATATTAAGTATATGGTTATCATTTTCATGGTGAGAATATTTAGGATCTACTTTATTAGCACATTTGAAGCATACAATATAGTTATCACGACATATGTTAAGTCTCCAGGACTTATTTATCCTGCATAACTGAAACTTCATACCATTTAAGCAACTCCTCTCTCTAGTTCCTCAAGTTTGATGGGTTCCACTTTTTTAGATTCCGCATATAAATGACACCATGCAGTATTGGTCAATCTATGCCTAACTTATCTCCCTTAGCTTGATATCGTTCAGGTTCAACCACGTTGTCATAAATGACAGTGTCTCTTTTCAAAAGCTGGATAGAATTCTACTGTATCAATAAGTTGGCATGTATATAAATCACATTTTCGTTATCCATTTATTTATTAATGAACACTTAGGCTGACTCCATATCTTAGTTATTGTGAAAAGTGCTGCAATAAACATGGGAATGCAGATATATCTTCTCCGTACTATTTTTATTCCCTTTGGCTACATACCCAGTAGTTGGATTGTTGGATAATATGGTAGTAGTTCTACTTGAATTTTTTGAGGAACTTCTGGATTTTTTTCTATAATGGCTGCACCAAAGTACGTTTTCACCAACAGTGTGTATGTACTCTTTTTTCTTCATATTCTTGACAATACTTGTTATCTTTTGCCTTTTGGATAATAGCTACCCCAACAGGTGTGAGGTTATTGTAATTTTGATTTCCATTTCCCTGATGATTATAGTGATGTTGATCATTGTTTGAATGAACATGTTGGCCATTTGCACATCTCTTTTTGAGAAATATCTGTTCAACTCCTTTGCCAAGTTTTTAATCAGGTTACTTGTTTTCCTACTATTGAGTTGTTTGACTTTATGATTATTCACTACCTACATGTATGTCTTATCAGATACTTAATTTAGATATTTTACTCTCTCTCTCTGCCTCATGAATAATTAGGATCCCAAGTTTCTGATTATTGAGATTTGTTCTTGAAACAATTATTCTGACTACAAATCAGAGATGTGAATTCTTAAATGTGCATGTTATGGTAAATGTTCTTACCTTGAAACGCATGTGCATATTTTATACTTTGCATTTGTGCTAAAGTCAAGATATAGAGGTATTCAATTTAATGAATTTTGCTGGAGAAATATTTCTTTTTAAACAGTGACTGAAACTGGTATATATATATATATATATATATATATATCCTCAACTTAAACTGAATCCTGACTTTCTAGAACCTTTGGGGACTCTTGCACATTTAAGGGCTTCTAGTTTCCCTGGGTCACCCTATCACAGTGCTGTCTCTGACCAAGCTACCTGTAATTCCTGAGCCTGTCAACTTTCATGCCTGGGAGCCTTTGCATTTGCTGTTTGTTACTTTCTGTAATGGAGTGAGTCCAAGAGAAATGGTTGAAAACAAACTGCTTGAAAACTGTTCGATATAAAAGATAGGATAAAGCATATAGCAATGTGGTAGGATTTGATTAAACCTATTGATTAGTCTGCTCAGGCTGTCATAATTATTATAGACTGAGTGGCTGAAACCAAGAGAAATGTCTTTCTCATGATCCGGGAGGTTGTAAGCTCTCGATCAAAGCGTGGGAAGGTATGTTCATTCTGAGGACTCCCTTGGTTTGTAGAAGCCCACCATCTTGCTGGGTCTTCACATGGTCTCTCCTCTCACATCAGCATCTCTGTTGTCTCTGCAAACTTCCTCTGATAAGCACCAGTTACACTGGTTTAGGGTCCATCCTAGTTTCCCCATTTTAACTTAATTCCATCTTTAGAGATTTCATTACTAAATACAGTCATATTCTGTGGTACAGATTAGGATTTTATCACATGAATTTGGGAGGGACATAATTAAGTCAGTAACACGTATCAATAAGACAGAGTTGGAGAGGTAGGCTTCAGCATGAGGGAAGAAAAGAGATGGAGTAGGGTCAACCAGACCTGACTTATTTTTGTTCTTTTTTCCTTCTACCCTTTCTGTCCTGACCTGCAGTTTGTTCAAAGTATTCCTCTGTCTACCAAGTGGTTCGGAGACTAGGAAACTGAGCCATGAAAGTTTCTTGGAAGCACAGAATCCTAGGCTGAGTTTAGGCCTCATGAGGCCAGTTTGGCCATGCTCAAGATGAGAAATTTTCACCACACCCACCACCAACAGAAGCCCCAAGGGCTCTSCAGCCCCCACAGGGCCCAAGGTCAGCCAGGCTTGATCAGAGGACMAAGGACAAGGACAGAGAGAGCCTGCCTCTCCTTTTCTACCCGAAGACGACCAGGTGGTGGCTGCTCATTGTTGGGCCTCCTCCCAAAGCTCTCCGACACCACTCTGCTGCTCCAGAATGAAGGCCTGTTCGTCACACTGCACCAAGCCTTGGGCAATTTGGGCAAATGAAGAGGACACAGGCTGGATAAATGATAAGAGAATGAAGATCTACAGTGATTGAATCTGCTTGGGCTTACCCTATGAAACAAGAAGGAAGACATCTGTACTTCTTCACAAGGTTCTTCTCAATGTCCATTTCAGTTACAAGGTCCTCAACDTAAAGAAGGGGAAAGTTCAGAAGCACACCCTAGAATATTCATTACATCGTTGGCTGCTGAGAAGAAACAGGCTGCTTTGACCTATCCTGAGCTGAGAGCATCTAGATTTTGATTGGATTGTTGCCAGAGCTCATTAGCATAGTGTACCCTGACCTGGAATAGGGAACAGAAAAATGACCAGAACTTACTGGGACCTGAGCGGGAGATGAGTTCTTGACAATATTGTCTACCTCTGGATAAGAAGTCAGAAGGCTGATCCACCTATATCAAGAACCTTTGAGAGCAAATTCTCAAGTTCAAATTGAAGGAAATTGAATAGAGGAAAACGTGTGGGTGACCTGACTTTATCATGGAACCTGAAGACTTTGATCCTGAAGACAAAGAGGTGTTAAACTGGGACATTAATGACATGAAACTGCCACAGAATGTGAAAAAGACTGACTGGTTCCAGGAGTGGCCGGATTCCTAGGTGAAGCACATCGACAGCTCAGAGGACAGGAAGGCACAGCGACACCTGAGCAGCCGGGCCATGCGCAACACGAACAACCACAACTCTCGCCTCCTCAAGAAGTCCTGTCTGGGTGTGCTGGTATGCGGCCACAGCTGCTCTACCAAGGAGGGGCGCAAGGTCTACCTGAGACCTGCGATCTGGGACAAGGCCCAGCAGAAGCAGCGGAAGAAAAGTTGTCCCTACTGTAATGGGCCTTTGAAGCTGATTCCTTGCCGTGGCCATGGGGGCTTCCCCGTCACCAACTTCTGGAGACACACTGGATGCTTCATATTCTTCCAGTCAAAGGGAGAGCATGATCATCCAAAGCCRGAAACCAAGTTAGAAGCTGAGGCAAGAAGAGCAATGAAGAAAGTGCATGGGGCACCTGCCTCTGTCTCCCTAAAGCTGAAGGGGAACCCAGGATCCAAGTCTCTTCCAGGTGAAACACAAAGTCAGGGAAGTTTACCTTTAACTTGGTCATTCCAGGAAGGTGTCCAATTGCCTGGCAGTTACAGTGGACATTTAATAGCTAACACTCCCCAGCCGAATTCACTGAATGATTGCTTATCCTTMTCCAAGAGTTATGGTTCAGGGGGAACCACTGATCTGGCAGACCCGACTTCCACCTTAGACCCCACTAAGCTGTATGAAAAATGCAGATTTTCCAGTAATAGGATCTACAATAGTGGAGACCTGTTTCAGCCTTCTGCCTCTGGAGTCTACTCAGATTATGACAATCTGCAAGCATGGAATAAAAAYGCTGCTTTGGGGAGAAGCCCTCTCAATGACAACTATTGTCCCAATTATCCTTTTCCTCTGATCGGCTGGCCTTGTGACTTCTTTCCTTCCCAGAATTCTTTGGAGAACTTTCCCCAGCAGATTCCCCTGGAACCACCTGCTGCCAAAACTAGCTGCCACCCATTATGGCCAAATCCAGGGGGCGAGCTTTATGAAGAGAAAGTGCCTGTGGATTTCAACAGCTACGTTCCTTCTCTCGCTTACCATCCACCACAGGAAGACCCCTTTCTGTTCGCCTACACCCCCCATCCTCACCAGCAATGCTCCCTGCCAGGCAAGAGCACCAAGTGGGATTTTGAGGAAGAAATGACATATATGGTTGGATCATTGCAACAATGAAATGCTTCTAAACCTCTGTCCTTTAAGATGACTTAAATTTTTCCACAATCCCTTCCCTCCTGCAAAAAAAAACAAAAACAAAAACAAAAACAAAAACAAAAAAACTACTTTGAGAAATGGCTGGAAGAATTTCCTTAGGAAGCAGCTTTTAAAACATAACTACAGATAAATGGGAATCACAAGTGGTAGGCAAAACATTTTTCATGCAAATAATCTTTTTGCCTCCTCCACCCTAATGCTTCCATCCTCAGTAAGGACTAGAAACTTAYCCAGCCTGCTGTGTGAAATGCCCTCTGATCTCCCCACCCCACACTCATTGTTTGGGGCTTTTAGCACCTCTGCTACCTATTGGGTTTCATTGTCACAGACRCATATCAAATGGAGCAAAGATGTGAAGAGTCCGCCTGCTTAGGATCTCCTCCATGCCTTCTTTTTCATAACAAAAAAATGGCAGAACCCAGAAACAGAGGGTAGAAAGAGCTGCAGAAGTATATAAAGATAAATAGTCTAGAATTGATATATTTAATACTTTGTTCAGTAATCAAATTCATTTATAAAATATGTATTTTCTAGTTGATTTCTAAGACTTGTCAAGACAAGAAGCATGAACTAACTCCATAAAGGACAGCGAAACTAAAAGGACAGGTGAAGAGAATTCCAGTGTTCTCCTACATTACTCACGTCCTTCTCCCTCCTCCTCGCTGACTTCACCTTTTAAAGGGATTAAATAGTACAAGTCCTATTTAAGTTTATTCTTTATGGCACCTAGCTCAGTGCCAAGTTCATAATATGTAAGAACTGTTTCCTTAGAAAAGTATCTTTGGGGACTGGGCATGTTGCTCACTGCTGAGGTGTATTTAGAACGCACAAGTCCTTGGGTTCAATCCTCAGCACCGAAGAATAAGAAAGAAAAGTCTGTACAATTAACATGGTCATGATTGGCTARCCATATTTGAATGCCAGTTCCTCCCCTTTGCTGAAGTGTGTTAATGCAAACAAATAAGTATTTTTTAAAATAGATGATTTTCTTTATTTGTGACAAACGCACATGATATAAAATTAAAAAAGAAAAAAGAAAAAAAAAGATGAGAAATTTAACGAGACAGGGAGAAGGCGGGCAAGCAACTTTTTCTGAGAGAGATGAGGTGTAGTCATGAAAGTGAAGCAGAATGAGAAGTCTTGCAGGGGCTGTGCTGGCATCTTGAGACTCTTCCCATTAAGTTCTGTGAGGTTTATTTCTAAAATTTCTCTCTGCATGTTTATGCATTAGAAATTGCTACCCATGTGAAGGCCATCACATGACATTGAGTACCTATCTCCTTCTCTTACTCATCCTCCTCACGGGTCCATCTTCCGCCTTTGGCTCACTTGGAGAATGGCAATCATCAGCGTGTGCCTCTAAGTCAAATGTATATTCCCCAAAGCTATTGGAAATAGGGTTCTGTCATTGTGATAGTAATTCAACTTATTGTGATGGTCAATTTGTAAATATAAAGTACAAGTGCTATTACTTGCCAAATGTGGTTGCATTAAATTGATTGGATGCTGAAACACATATGCAATTAAAATGGAAGTTATATGTAAAAAAATGTTGATGTAGATCCCATTAGAAACATTTAAGATCAGATACATTAAAATATAGTATCTATACCTGTTAAAACATTTCCAAGGCATTCTTTAACTTGCCTTTTCCTTCTTTCTTTCTTTAAAAAAAAAAAATTGCTGTTTTTGGCAAAGTCTTCATTGCTTCCTAATTACCCTAAATTTCTTTTCTTGTTAAAGACAAGTTTAACAATTGCATTCATTATCTCTGAAATTAACAAGGACTTTAGTTTTTTAGCAACTGTCGATCAGAGCCGTGTTCCCCAGGAAGCATTAATCCCAAGAAATCTTCTGTAAAAATATGAAGTATTTAATTAGGCTCAGTTAAAAGAGGACAAAAATCTCAGATTTGGGGTTGGAGGGCTTTTACAAATTGCCATAGAATAATTTGTGGTCCTTATTCCCTCTAATTCATATGTTGAAACTCTAACCCTCGATGTGATGATATTTGGAGATGGAATCTTTTGGAAATAATGATTAAGTTTATATTAGATTATAGTAGAAACTTGTAATTTAACTTTTAATGTGGGACCCTCATGGCGGAACTAGTACCCTTACAAGAAGAGCCCAGAGAGCTTGCTTCCTCTCTGTCTCCATGAACATGCACAGAGTAAAGGCCAGAGTGGGAAGGCAGCTATCTACAAACCAGAGAGTCTTCATCAGGAACTGAATCTCCTGGCATCTTAACCTTCAATTTCCTGCTTCAAGAACTATGAGAAAATGTCTGTTGTTTAAACTGCCCACTCTATTGTATTTTGTTATGGCGGCTCAAGTTGATACAGATATTTTAATGTGATGATTTTATTTGTGGAAAACAGGCAGTTTTGAGCTTTCCGAACTTCAGAATAGGGGAAGAATTTAGGCTATAAAAACAGACTCTATTACTTATTAGCTCAAATCTAAATGCTGAGCAGTGGGTCTGTGTTGTCATGGTCTCATTAGCATTTTCTAAAAAGTATGGAAATAAAAATGGGAACAATCAACAACTCGGTATTGACATTTCTTTGTGCTCTATGTGTCTAGAGTTCTGTAAGGTACTGGGGATGTATGTGATTGCCACGAAGTCACACATCATTGTGCAAGTCTGTTGTCATTGCATTTATGTACTTGTTAGGGATAAAACAAAAAGCTATACAAGTAAGAGGCTAAGTGTTGTGAAGGCAGAAGGATGGGGTGCAGGGAGAGCCCCAGGAACCAAACCCCCTGGAAAGAGAGTGCAGAGAAGTTGAGGTTGAAAGGTATCCAAAGATAACTATACAGGAAGAGTCTCAGGCAAAGAACTTTTCAAGAAACTGAAAGAGTTTCTTTGTGGCTAGAACACATAGTTGGGAAAGAATAAATGGGGCTAGAACAAGAAGGGAGACAATGGTACACAATATCTAGAAGGGTTGTGTCAAGGGAGATGATAATTTTAGTTATAAGTAGGCAGAACTCACAGACAGCAAGAAAATTGACTTGCTCTGGTAATTAGATGTTGGGGATGTGAAGGAGGGGTAGGTGTTGAGGAAAACAATTGGATATCTCTTTGTCATACGCTGATAAAAAAATTAGGTAAAGTAGAGGGGAACGTGTCTTGGAATGTGCCATAAAAGACCTGTGAGAACTTTGGTCTTTTGAATGAATAATCTGAAATTTGTTAATTCTTCTTTCAGGAAGAATAAAACAAAGGGAGAAGACAGAGGAGGAGGAGACCACAAGAAGAGCCAGGTGGAGAGAAAGAGGAAGGAAAAAATACATAGGTCTTTGTATTTTGCTTTGGGTATTCAGCACTATGGTAGACAGAATGAAAATGGCCTCCGAGGAGATGTGAAATCCCTAGAAGAGAGGTTACAGGTAGGTTTCAATGTAGAGCATTTGCTTAGCTATGTGTAAAGCCCTGGGTTAGATCATCAGCAACTGCAAACAATAAAACAAAATAAAATAAGAGGAATGAAAGACTGGGGAGTAGATGCTGTAATGTCCTATAAATGAAGTAAAATTTAATAGCATTCAAAAACACAGGTGGAAGTTTAAGCCTTGGGAAAAGCAGTAGGAATGTCTCTGGGACAGTGGCAAAGATGGGCGAAACGTGTGGATGAATTTTGAATTCACAGGAGAACAAGAGCTTAAGTCTGTTATTTTATGTGTGAGACAGAAGAGTGGCAAGGGCATTTGTTATGTGAATGAACAGGGTGGGGCGAGGCACGTGGTGAGCTTGGTCATGGATGGAGAAATTTGCCTGAAATGCCGTAGAGGCTGTCTGAGTTTATTTTTATATTTTTAAAATTTTTTAAACTATTTTTTTAGTTATACATCTTTATTTTGTTTTTATTTATTTATTTATTTTTTAATGTGGTGCTGAAGATCGAACCCAGTGCCTCACATGTGCGAGGCAAGCGCTCTGTCACTGAGCCACAACCCCAACCCTCTGAGTTTATTTTTGCTGCGGCAGCAAAATTCTACAAACTGGATAATTTATCCTGAATAGGAATTTATCGGTGCATCATTCTGGAGGTTAGAAAGATCAAGATGGAGAAGACTTTTCTTATGAGAGCCTTCTTGCTTCATTATAACATGGCAGAAGGGGTTTACATGAATGGGAGGTAAAAAGAAGTGGGGAGAGAGAGGAAGAAGAAGAGTGGCCCAACTAATTATTTTATAAGAAATCCATGTCCCCAATATGGTAATAATCTACTCATGAGAACAAAGTCTTCATGGCAATATCACCTTTTAAAGAGTCTACCTATTAATACTGTTACAGGGGCAATTAAATTTTGACATGAGTTTGGGAGAAGAAAGACATTTACACCATAGCAGAGAATTTTAAAGACAGGGTAAATTTGACTAAACTGTTCAGGTGATCCTTGGCTTTTGGTTCTCTTATTAATTCAGCTAATACCCTATTGCTATACTGGGACACTATTGAATGACTGTAAGTGGTTTCTCTGACTCCTGCAGTGATCTAGGATTCCTGTTTGAAGTGGCCAGTTCTCACCTTTTCTTGCTTTTTTTAGTATCTATGTTGTTTGAAAAATAGCCTTTCCTAAAGTCTTTCCAGACTTATTCATGTCTTGTAGACCAGCTCTAGATACAAATCTTTCAGTTTTCAATGGTTCCCCAACTTTTCAAACACCTACCAAATAAATTCTGGTCATACCTAGCATAGCTGACAATTTTGTCCTTACAGACAGACAGTGCCTGAATTTTTAGGCAGCTGCATGTTCAGATAGGACCATTCTCTTCCTTTCAATAGTTTTTGCTCATTAAACCTTCTTTCTCTTAGTTCTTTTTACTTTGCTTAGTTCTTAATATACTTACTGTACTTGCGTTTTTATGGTTTAATCAACAAATAAATACCTGTTCTTTCAAAATGAAGCCTTACCAATTCATATTGTTATTTATTGCTTATTGCAATGAAGTTACCTTTAAAGCATTATTTTTAATTGTACA